CGTTTGATGCTGTGATGCGAGTGATTAAGGATGAGTGTTCTATCACTAACGTTGCTCTATTGGAGACTATAGTGAACAAATACTCAATACAAGATGCTGGAGACATGATATTAGCTTATCAGACACACTTGGATGAATTTTGCGAAAACAAATTAACAATGTTTTGTGATCGTCAGCTTAAGAGATTATCCTCTTCTCTCCTCACTTGTGAGACGATCAAGTTTGTTCTGAAATGGAATCCAAGTGAGCATTCTCTCTCCAGTATCAGAGCCCTCCTATGGAAAACGTTCAAGGATAATCAAGTGGAGGTGGTAGTGATCAAGGAAGGGAACTCCATCATTGTTACTTGTTATGCTCCTCATTATCTGATGGAGAGTTTACTAGTGACAGCTAGAGATAACGTTGATATGCTAAAGGAGATGGGATTGATTAGTTTAACTATTGGTTACTATACTGTGTATGATGAACATGCAATTGATGAGGTTAGTGAATGTATGTGTATATAAATTAATAGTATACTATTTTGATAGGAGGTGAAGAGTCTAATGAAGAAACTGGAGATGTTAGAGAGTGAAAGAGATGATTTACTTGAGGAGAATGCTAAATTGAAGGGTACATTAGACACATTAGGTATATACCAATTATTATTAATTATAATTATTGATATTTTAAAGGTATTTCATATGAAGGTAGAGAAGTTGATGAAAGCAATATGTCATCAATACAATCATCAGGTATAATGACATTCATGTTTTGAGACATGATATCTATGAATATTGTCATGTGCATGAATTTTGAATAAATACATCATATAGCTGAATTGTTGTTCCTATAATTTAATTGATTCATTTTTATTATTTAGAGTCTGAGAAGGAAGAGAGTAAAAAGATGACAAAGGCAATGCAAATGGAAATAGATCATTTACGATCATCTCTTCAAAGCAAAACAGGTATATATACACACATACTTAATACTGTATAATGACGATACAGAGTATCATTATTGCTTGTACATTAATTTGTTATAGTAGGAGGATGATTGCTTATACTCAAAACTAATACTGGTCCTTCTTAAATGCAATTAAATAATATGCAAAATATTGATAAATATTTTAATGTTTCTTAAATTAGTGACCAATGACTATTATTAATGACTAGGAATAGAAGAAACGTTAATTGGAGTAGAGAAAACATTAGTTGAAAGAGAAAAGGAGATAAAACAGTTACAGGAAAAGATATCATTAATGAATATACAACAACTGAAAGAAACTTCAATTACTCTTAGTATGTATTACATTATATTAACATAATGACTAGTACTGGTATTTTAGGAAAGGATCAGTCTACACAATATATGGATCCACCAAAAGGACCAGTTTATGTAGCTATTAGAGACTGGGAGGCATGGGAAAATGGTCAGCTTTCAATCAAGAAAGGAGAGAAACTTGAGATCAAGACAGAGCTTACTGATGGATGGTGGCTAGCAAGATCATTAGATACTGATCAAGAGGGAACTGTTAATATTAAACATATTGAAAAAGATGAAGAGAGTGAACTGTCAACGTGGGAATCACTTGAACTATTTCATTATGCAATGACAGAAAATGTTAACATACCTAAAATCAAGGAAATTAAGATGAAGAGCAGCTTTGAGAGAGCAAGTCTCTTTTTATCATTAATCAAACAAGATTCAGTTCTGCTAGATCAACTTAGGAAAAAAGAACATGGTAAGATATATTTATACATGTATATACTTATAATCTATAAAGTATTTTGATGGTATTAGTTAAGCCCAACATACACGGGGCATGTTGCCCCATGTATGTTGGGCTTTATTGTCCATGATCAGCAATTTTTCAATGCTATAATTAAATTGTTTATGTTTCAGGAAAATCTAAAGGATTGAGGTGGTATGATGATGGGGTTCAACTGACCTCTCCATCTTTAATACAATGTCAAGAAGTAGTTTCTCTATTAACATACAAACATAAGACCATTGTTATCAGCGAATCATCTCCTGATGTTTTGTATAATCTGTTGCCAACTTTATTGCAAAATGAAAAGCTGAAATACTTAAGAATACGAAACACTCAACTAACACAGGACTGCATCTCATCCTTATGTAACTTACTGGCTAATAATAAATCATTGTTAGAATTAGCTCTTACTAACTGTTCCATTGATGACAAAGCAGTTGCTGATATTACAAACGTACTACAAACACACAATAACACACTTTTAGGATTATTCTTCCGTATTAATCCTGGTATTACTTCAGTTAGTGCTCAGTCTCTTTCTGAACTAATTATCAACAATTCAACATTAACTAAATTACAAGTAAGAGGCACTTCAATATCATCTGATGGAATATTACTAATTCTTGAATCGTTAACAATTAATAAGAATATAAAGCAGCTCCATCTAGATATGAAACACAAAGACACATGCACAGATTACCATGACTATAATATTATAAAATATAGAGTAATATTTTATGATTAATTAATAATAATTATTATTTTGCTTATTATGGATGATGCTGGCTCATAAAATATTTAATAATTAAACTCAAAATAATTAACAAAGTGATTTATATATGATAAACAAGTACAAAAACAACTAAATACAAAATAGTAATAATAATAAATGGTTTTGTTTTTTGGTTTTTCTTTTTTTGGCTTTAAAAAGTAATAATACAGTAGAACCTGTATAATGGTCACCATTAGGAACTGGTTCTGTGCATGGCTGTTATATAGGGGTGGTCTTAATTTGAGAAATTTTAGTTTAAAGTGTCTAACTTAAGAGATACAGTGATTTTCCTTAAACTTGCATGATAGGCAAGCAGAAATGTGTTATGCATGCACATGCTCTGTTGTGGTCAGGAATAAAATGAATGCACCTACTTAATGCCACAAGAGAGCATGTTCATGACACATCTCTGCTCAAGTTCTCTATCATGCAAGTTTAAGGAAAGTCACTGTATTTAACTCTGTTGCCTTCTTATGTATCTTGATTTATTCCTAAGTTTAATAGCAAGTGCAGGTAACAGTCCTGGTATTACTACTAAGAGAAGGAACACTGAGGTAACTATGAACCCATCATTATGTACTCTATGTACAACTGGAAACTTTAAGTACTTGTTAATATTTTTAATATGTAGTATCCAGTGTTTGTTTAGGAATGGTATAATTATGAGCCTGGCATAGCAACATGTATTTACATGTACAGTAGCTAATATTAGGCATGACACCAGACTCTTATTCGGTAAATTAGAGTCTGGCTAGCGAGATTACATGTAATATTGTTATTGTAATGAACATACCTTTTCTATTATTATTTATTATTAGTTTTTATTTTTATAGAGAAGTAGAGGTGTTCATAATCTTTTATAATCAAAATCAATACTGCATCACAAACAGAAACAACTTGATAATAATAATAATAATGGATTAAAAATAAATATTATTATTTACCTCTCTTTTTCTTTTTATTTATTTAAATATTTAAAAAGATCACCTATACACTATGACAAAAAGAGATTATCTGCAATGCTGTAATAAACTAAATCATGATTATTAGGCATTTCATCTATTTATTTAATTGCACTATTGGTAGTGGTTTGTGTGGTTGTTCTTTCCTGTGTCTATAATCAAAGTCTTCTTTTGATCTTTAAGAATATCCCAATGGTAGGGTAACCAGATTTATCTCAATACACAAGTGAAGGATGGATGGAAGATAGTTTCATATAAATGTTGTACTAGTTCTATCCAGTTAGGTTGAAATGGCTCTTTTTTACTACCTCTACACTCTGTCCTCAGTAGTCTGATGGTTGTATGTGACTATAACATGTTAGTAACAGCAAACTACAGCTGCAGGTAGTACCTGTTGATAAAACAATGGATTATTATTTGATTCTTTTTTTCCCTACTATAGTTAATGTATACGACTGATCTGGTTTGAAGTTCACTTTAAGTTCTGTGAGATTGTTCTTTTGAGAGATAACATCTTATCTCTTCATTCAGTGGAAGTGGAATGGGTACACTCAACTGCTGTAGACTGAATGCATGGTGTCGTGTCTGAGACCAGTTGTTAGGAATAGAATGGGAATGTCACTATACCTATTACTACTAATCTCAAGGTATTTCAGTGTTTGGTTTTGTGTTAGCATGTCTTGTAGACTAGTACCCATACTGCTGGTATATACTCTCTCCTCCTTTATCTCCACACTCAGAGCTTTAAGTGTAGTATTGGTTTGTAGAATAGTAAATATATAGTTTAAGAGCTCTCTCAGCTGTGTCTAGTGGTAAAGTAAGTGTACGTAGACTGGGATGAGAGAGAAATACGAAATGTGGCGGCACGGATCAAGTAGTATCAGACAGTGTAGATGTGGAAGGTCCTGGAGCGATGATGTCATGAGTTTACTCCTTCCTATCGCTACAGTAGTCAGTGGTGTATTCACCTCTACTATATATTCAGTGATAATGATAGGAGTTCATCAGGTACATGTATGTCCAGTGAAAGAGCTAGTATAATGGATAAACACCTCCTATGAGGTGTTTATCTGTTTTAAACATATTCATGGAGATATAGTTATGACACAGGCTCAAGCAAATGATATTTTGTGGAATGGCTTCCATGTAGCAGTCTTTATAGCATTTGGACACCTCATTCATATCATTAACATCAAACAGAATTATTCATGAATGGTTCAAAATGTGTTTTGTCCAATTTAAATAAAAAAATAACATACAACAATACAACTGCTCTATTACTCTATCAAGTAGAGGAGGAGGAAGAACATCAGCACAGACACATAAACAGAGTAGCCTGTGTTTAGACAAGAACACTTACAAAAGAGAAAAAGTAAGGGTAGGGAGAGGCTAAAATGGCATAATATTTCATTGAGCTAATATTTGTAACACAAAAATTTATTAGCTTATACCAATGAGTCATAATTTGAAAGATTGCACACAACAAAAGGAGGAAGGATACCGTACATGTATATAGCGGGTTTATTTCAAGGATAACAAATTTCAAGAATTTCACAGATTTTTGACGATTTGTGAAATTAAATTCCTTAAAAATCAATTTAATACGATACAAGATAGCAGAAAAGTGGCAATTCGCGAAAATTAATTCCATGAACCTCCAGATACAGGCCATTCACAAAAATTATTATCCTCAAAATAAACCTGCTATACAGTAATGACTGGAATGAGAAGGGAAATAAAAATCAAACTTCATCCTTAATACAATGTAGAATTACCAGAAAAATGTACACACATGCATCGAAGTCACACATACCTTATTAATAATGAAATACTGTACTATATCAATTGATGCATAATAAGAGTAAAAAACAGTGAGTCATGCAGTGCAAAAAAATGAGACAACTACGTATGTGAAATATTATTTTGAGTATTTTTACTTTGAGTGTTCAAATTTTTTGACGTGAAAGTCAACGCAATAAAAATGGCATCGAAATTCAAAACTTATGACAATTATCAAAATTATCAAAAGCCAAAAGGACAACACATACAGGGTCTAATGAGATAAGTCTAATGAGTGTCTAGTGAGATAATGTATAATGAGAGTAAGTCATGTAGTGTAAAGAAATTAAATATAAACTACATGGCAAAAAATTGAGCTTCATTGAATTATGTGAAATATTATATTGAGTGTTTTTACTTTGCGCGTTCCAATTTTTGACATGAAGGTCAACGCAAAATAAAAAGGAATCAAAGATTCGTGAATTATCTTCAAAATTGTCAAAAACCAAAAAGGACAACACATACATGTACAATGTCTAAATTACATAATAGTATCATTACTAATGAGGTAGTTTAATAAGATAGAGTATATTATTAGTCAGTACATACACTAGTCCTGATCCTGTTACCTGTACTCCTAGAATACCACCAGGACTGAGGCTACCATCAGGGAGTGTATGAATATACTGAGCTGCTGTTTGACTATTGACCCCTTCCTCAGGTGAACAGTATATGAAGATATGATCAACACTATCAGTCAATACTGCATAAGAACCATCATGCGTAGCAGTGAGGTACTTCTTCTCTTTTAGATGCTTGTACATATCCCAATGCATTGAAAGTGGTTACATGAGTATATGATAGAGAGGGAGAGGAGACAGAGGGAGAGTAGTGTAGGGCATCTACATCATGTCTCAGTGATAATACTGATGGTC